GGCAGCTGTACCGGTTCACAGTCGCGTTCCCCACACCCTGGCTCTCGCTCTCGCTCTGTCTGGGGCGGCCATTCCGAGGGCCCGCGGGCGCCTCACTGGGGGTCAGGTCCTTCCCATTTTTACGTCGTTTTCTGTTGTTCTGTTTCTCCGCTGTGGAGTGTGTGGGTTCTTCATGCACTTTGCATGTTAAGCTCTTGTTACACAGAATGCCCTCCCATCCCATGAGCCGTGTCATTTTGGTGGCGGTTCCCTTGGCCGTGTGGAAGCTGGTGGGGGGTGCTGTCCCGCTCGGTCCCGTGTGCCGGCTGCCGTTCTTACCTCTGCCCCCGCCGGCCAGGGTCAGGGGGCTCGCTGCCGGCTCTGCCGTGAGCTGTGTGGTTCTCAGTCTTACGTCCCCGGCTTTCATCCATTCTGAGTTAATGGTTGTGAGAAGTGTAAGATGGGGTTCGACTTCTATTTATGTATTTAATAGAGGGCGGGGGGCGGGGGGGGCCGTGGCCCTCAGCCCAGACTGCACCCTCTCCAATCCGGGACAGCCCTCTCACAACCCAGGACTGCTGGCTCCCAACTGCACACCTGCCTGCCTTCCTGACTGCCCCTAACCGCTTCTGCCTGCCAGCCTGATCACCCCCTAACCACTCCCCTGCCAGCCTGATTGCCCCTAACCGCTTCTACCTGCCAGCCTGATCACCCCCTAATCACTCCCCTGCCAGCCTGATTGCCCCTAACCACTCTGCCTACTAGCCTGATCACCCCTAATCATTCCCCTGCCAGCCTGATTGCCCCTAACCACTCTGCCTGCTAGCCTGATCACCCCCGGCCTAAACACTCTGCCTGCCAGCCTGATCACCCCATAATCATTCCCCTGCCAGCCTGATTGCCCCTAACCACTCTGCTAGCCTGATTGCCCCTAACCACTCTGCCTGCTAGCCTGATCACCCCCGGCCTAACCACTCTGCCTGCCAGCCTGATCACCCCATAATCATTCCCCTGCCAGCCTGATTGCCCCTAACCACCTCTGCCTGCCAGCCTGATCACCCCCTAATCACTCCCCTGCCAGCCTGATTGCCCCTAACCGCTTCTGCCTGCCAGCCTGATCACCCCTAATCACTCCCCTGCCAGCCTGATTGCCCCTAACCACTCTGCCTGCTAGCCTGATTGCCCCCTAACCACTCTGCCAGCTAGCCTGATCACCCCCTAATCACTCCCCTGCCAGCCTGATTGCCCCTAACCACTCTGCCTGCCAGCCTGATCACCCCATAATCATTCCCCTGCCAGCCTGATTGCCCCTAACCACTCTGCCTGCCAGCCTGATCACCCCCTAATCACTCCCCTGCCAGCCTGATTGCCCCTAACCACTCTGCCTACTAGCCTGATAACCCCTAACCATTCCCCTGCCAGCCTGATTGCCCCTAACCACTCTGCCTGCTAGCCTGATTGCCCCCTAACCACTCTGCCAGCTAGCCTGATCACCCCCTAATCACTCCCCTGCCAGCCTGATTGCCCCTAACCACTCTGCCTGCTAGCCTGATCACCCCTAACCACTCCCCTGCCAGCCTGATTGCCCCTAACCACTCTGCCTGCTAGCCTGATTGCCCCCTAACCACTCTGCCAGCTAGCCTGATCACCCCCTAATCACTCCCCTGCCAGCCTGATTGCCCCTAACCACTTCTGCCTGCCAGCCTGATTGCCCCCTAATCACTCCCCTGCCAGCCTGATTGCCCCTAACCACTTCTGCCTGCCAGCCTGATCACCCCATAATCATTCCCCTGCCAGCCTGATCACCCCTAACCACTTCTGCCTGCCAGCCTGATCACCCCCTAACCACTCCCCTGCTAGTGTATTTGCTCCTAACTGCCCTCCCCTGCAGGCCTGAGTCCCTCCCAACTGCCCTTCCTTGCAGGCCCAGTCCCCCCAAACTTCCCTCCTCTGCCGGCTTGGTCACCCCTAACTGCCCTCCCCTGCAGGCTTGATCACCCCCAACTGCTCCCTTGCAGGCCTGGTCCCTCCCTACTGCCCTCCCCTGCTGACCTGATTGCCCACAACTGCCCTCCCTTGCAGGCCTGGTCCCTCCCAACTGCCCTCCCCTGCTGGCCATCTTGTGTCCACATGGGGGCAGCCATCTTATGTGTTGGAGTGATGGTCAATTTGCATATTATTATTTTATTAGATAGGATTTGCTACTTACAAGAGTCATTTTAATATAAACATTGGACATAAAATTAATCAGTATAATATGACGTTCCAGTCCTTTGCATAAAGGAAAAGCAGTGACTAATGTTGAATGAAGGAATGAAGGAATGAGCTAAATTGCTCTTCACTCTCTTTGAAGTCCCAGAAGCAGGCCATTGCTGGAGAGTGGACAGCTTGCCCCTTGCCCCTCCCCCTTTCCCGTGCCTTCTCACTGGGTCCCTTGCCGTTCACTTGAGGTCACAAGACTGGGGTGATGTGTATACATAGACACGTACATAAGGTTGTCATCTGGCCCTGGCCCATGTGGCTCAGTGGTTAGAGTGCTGGCCCTCCCACTGACAGGTGGAGGGAATGATTCCTGGTATAGGTCACCTACCTGGCTTGTGCATCTGCTTGGTTTGCAGGAGGCAGCCACTTGATGGTCTTTCTCACATTGATATTTCTCTCTCTCTCTGTCTCTCCCCTCCACTCTCTCCCCCTCTGCTTCCTCCAAAAAGCAACAGAAAGTACCCTCAGGTGCGGATTACAACAGCAACTGCCATCTTCAAGCAGAAGCCACTTCTTTTCCAAAACGATGCTTCTCATCTCTCTCTCTGGCCCGTGCGCTCTGGGCCGGCGGCCGGAGGCAGGGGTGAGCGGGGGGCCCCCGGCCTCCCTCCGCCGGGAAGCGGTAGGACTCCCCTCGGGTCTGGACCGTGGACGGCCGTGAATTCTGTCCGGTCCTCCCCTGCCCGGCCGAGCTGACGAGGAGGCGGCGTGTCCCCGCCACCCTCTGGGATGTCCGGCCGGAGCCGAGGGTGGGCCTCGGGAACAAAGCCCCCCCCCCCCCCCCGTGGGCGGTGAACGGCCCTCTGGCCGTGCGGCTGAGCCGGGGCCGCTGTGATTGCGTGGAGGCGGCCTGCGCTCTGCGCATAGCATCCTCCTCTGGCCTCGCGAGGGGAGCCTGGGGGTGCCCCCTCCTGACGCTCACGCTCCTGAGCGTCCCATCTCCTGGCGCTGCGCTGGGTCCGCTCGGGGCCTGAGCCCAGGGGTGGCCCGTCGGACCCGGGCTGCCCCACTTGGGGGTGTTAATTCACAGCAGCGCCTTAGAGCCTTCTATGTCCAGGCATCAGTTCTGATATTTTTAGTTTGAAGATTTATCCATCTTGGTCATCTTTTTGGTAAAAAAAAAAAAAAAAAAAAACACAAAAAAACAGCTCAGCCCTGGCCGGTGTGGCTCAGTGGATAGAATGTGGGTTGAAGGGTCCCTGGTTCTGTGTCAGGGTTACACACCCGGCGGTGGGGTCAGGCCACAGCGGGGGTGGCGGGGGGTGAGGGGAGGCGTGAGGCACGGAGCCATGGCGGTGCCGGGTATAACCCACAGACCAAAACGGGGCCCGCTGCAGTCACAGCAGGCGGGGGCGCGGGGGGCGGGGGGCGGGGACGGCCGATGAGTGAATGTCGGGGGCCCGTGGAGATGCTGTCCTGCGGGGGTGAGCGTGCGGGCACCTGTCTGTCTCAGCGAGTCCCCGGGACTCGTCAGGCCCCAGGGGCGGCGGTGACTCGGGGAGGAGCCCAGTGGACACAGGGAGCGGGCGGTCAGGGCACCCGGCACCCAGCAGCCCGTTCCATCCCGGAGCACCCGGCACACCCCGCTCGGGGCCGCGGGCCACGGTGCCCGCCCTCTGCCCGCTGGGGGCCCCGGGTGTTGCTGGAGGTGCTGTGGGTCCGGGAGGGTGAGCACCGGGAAGTGAGGTGACACTGATGTGTCAACTCTTACTTTCCCAATTTTCTTGTTTTTGTTTATTCATTTAAAAGAGGTGCAGGGGGTGGCAGGGTGACACAGGAAGCAGTTGGTGAGCTGAGGGGGTGGGGCCCGGGGGCAGCCTGCTCACCCGCTGCCTGGTGGCCCCCCGTCCCCCCTCCCCCCGGAGCCCCTCCCCGTGGGAGGTGGGGACACCGAGCGGCCGGGCCCCCCAGCAGTCACTCTCCTGGCTGACGGCTGAGGAACGGGGGCACTGAGTAGCTGCAGGTGGGGTTCGGGGTTCGAGTGCCTCTAGCCACAGGGCTCAACCAGCTTTCAAACCCCCAGCCCCACGGCAGCCGGCAGGGACACAGCAGGGAGAGGGAGCTGTGCCTGAGGGACCGGGAGGTGCAGGGAGGCTGGTACACGGAGGGGAGGCCCTGCACCCCAGCCCTTTACGGGACGGCCTCCTGAGGAGCTGCCCGGCCCCGGCCGTGCTGGGTGCGCATTGGGGGTAAAACCACTGAGAGGAGTGGGATCTGCCCCCCCTATCCGCCCGCCCGCAGACAGGGCGGAGCCGCAGGCGGCAGGGTGAGCGGTGGCTGCGGTGCGAAGGCCTCGGGGCAGGGACCAGCCTGGGGACCGCAGGAAGGGGACAGACGGGGACGGGGACAGACAGCAGGATGGGGACAGACAGTGGGACGGGGACAAACAGCAGGATGGGGACAGACAGTGGGACGGGGACAGCAGGATGGGGACAGACAGCGGGACGGGGACAGGGGGCGGGGACGGACAGCGGGACGGGGACAGCAGGATGGGGACAGACAGCGGGACGGGGACGGACAGCGGGACGGGGACAGACAGCAGGACGGGGACGGACAGTGGGATGGGGACGGACAGCGGGACGGGGACAGACAGCAGGACGGGGACGGACAGTGGGATGGGGACGGACAGCGGGACAGGGACAGGGGGACGGACAGCGGGACGGGGACGGACAGCGGGACGGGGATAGGACAGCGGGACGGCGGTGGGTGCGTGCGTGCGGGAGACACAGTTACCACAGCCTCGGCAGCCGCGCCGTTGGTAAAAAGTTCACTATCGTGTTTATTGTCGGAAGAAAAGACACGCCAGGGAAGAGGATTAACTTATCTTTCATCGCGAGGGTGGCAACAAAGTCCAGCTTGTGCCGCCAATCGGTTCACATGACCCAGCCGCGTACAGCTCCGTGTGCAGGGACCACAGACAGGCAAGGACACAGATGGATCTCGTACAAAAGCCGGCGTGAACAGGGCGGAGCGAGGGAGTCTACAGAGGGGCGCGCTCGTTCGTCAGTCCTGTCCCGTCCCGTCCCCGTCCCCAGGCTCCAGCCGGAGCCCCCGCTCCCCGCGTCTGCGGAAATCGGATGGATGCTCGGGTGGTTGGGGGGGGGGGGGATGATGGTGAAACATTCACAAACCCTGACTTAGAGTCTAATACGGTGGACGTGCGAGGCCTCGAGATGGCGTTTGGGGGGCCGGGTGACGTATGGGGGGTCCTGAGGGAGGTGCCGTGCACGCTGAGCTCTGTCAGTGTTTGGAGTAAAAGATCCTCGGGAAGGGAGGCGAGTTTTCGCGTGATGGTGATGGGGTCGTACAAAACCCGCGCGTCTGGCAGGTGAGAAATGGAGGTGCTGGCGACCCCGCTAGTGTCCCGCCCAGCCGGGGTGGCGCCATGGGGGGAGTGGCATGTGCCCCCGTCACGCGTGCGGGCGAGGGGTAACAGTCTAGATTCAGTTCCTGGAAGCCCGGCCCCGCCCCGGTCGGAGGGGGTGCGGGTGCGGGTGGTGGCGGTGTGGGGACAGCGGGCGCTGCCGAACCTGCATAGGAGGGAGGACTGTCGTACAGTGGGAAAGCCATCTCTAAGGCACACAGACAGTGAGGGGCCCCCACCCCCGGTGCGGCAGGAGGTCACGGGCACGCAGAGCGGGAGGGGGGCCCACGGCCGCCTGGGGGTGCAGGGGGGGGAGGCCTGTCTGGTCTCCATTGGGGCCGTGAGGGCGGGCCTGTGAGGACGTTACAGGAAAAGGAATCCTCTCCGGGTGAGCCGTGTGTAGAGGGAGCCTCGCTCCCTCTTTGGCCTCGGACAAGGTGAAGGCCGAGCGGACTTGGGAGGCCGGGCGCCCCGTGTCGGCCAGAGAGCCGGACGCACGTCGGGGGTAAACAAAACGCAGCACAAACTCGGCAGCTGCCCCTGGCAAAGGTGAAGTAGAAAATAGCAGCGTGTTTGAGCCCTCGTTTTGAGTTTCTCAGGAGAAGTAGTATAGTATTGAAAACATGGGTAGATATACGTACTTCACAGGGCATGGAGTTTTGTTCACGGCAGCACCCCGGGAGGTGAGCCTGGGAGCCCCACTCCCTCCTGTGAGGTAAGGCTGTGGGGGCACTGACCTCAGGGTGGCGGGTCCCCCCAGGAGTGGCGTCTCCATGACCAGCCACGTCCTCCCACTCGGGAGGGTCCCGAGAGAGGACCCTGCCCCCGGGCGCCTCCCTCCCCCCGTTTCCCACGTGGGGCGCCTCTGGGCACACCGAGTTTGCCATTTTCTCTCCAATCAGGTCAGCTTTTTCTACTACATTTTTTTCCTCACAAAAGGCAAGTTTTCAAGGATGCCTTGTAAAACTTGTTACAGCACATTGTTTATGCAGGATGAACTTAACACCAGTTTTTTGCCACTTTGCTATTTATGTACACATATAAAATAGAGCAGGATGCTCACCCCACACAGCACACACACCACCGGGAGGGACGCCCGCACAGTCCCGCAGAGACTGGCTGGCAATTCACACCCAAAGTACAGGATATTAACAAAATAGGAAATATCAAACAGTGAGTACTCTACTTAAGGATCTCGCCTTTCCCCCAAATTGGCGGCAAATCCACAAAAATAGACTTTTTTTAATCTGGTGACCATACAATACATAGGTACTTACATCGAAGGTGATAATATATTTAAGATGCTATGTACAGAAAGTTTGGCTCAACTTTTAATTTATAGATAGCATAATAAGTGTTCATGGCTTTTTTCCCCCCAAGGTTCTGTTCGCAAGATATTTTCCCCCCTTTAGAATAAAACTTAAAAAGTTAAAACAAGATAATAAAGCTATTCTCAAAAAAAAACAAAAAAAATTAAACATACAGCTTTGGCTTATATAAATAATTCATAGCAGAATGTTTTCAAAAGTAGTGAATAATTTCATATATAGTCATCAATTCATAAGGGCGTTCTCTCTCATATAAAATATACACGAGCTAAAATCGTCTCTTTAACGTCAGGGTGCGGCTGTAGAGGACTCCGCCCCGTCCCTCTGATAACTTAATATATTACTTTGCTGGGTCGGCTCTACCTCTAGGCGGGGGCGTGGGGCCTCATGCGGCTGCTAGTCTCTCACTACGTTCGCTTCTCGGCCCGGTGCCTGTGCGTGCACCGCGTGCGTGCGGGCGGGCGGGCAGCCCCCGGCGCCCTGGCAGGCCATGCGGGAGTGGGCTCTATGTACAGTATTGCTTCCTGGTCCCGCGCGGCTGTCTACAAAGCGGTTCTCACGTTTCTCTGCAAAACCCGCTTAGGAAACGGGGCCCGGAGGCTGGGCGGCTGCCCACGGGCCACGCCTGCAGACGGACAGGCCGGCAGGGAGGGCCCGATTCTGTCTGCCACACACACCCACACACACACGCACACCATACATACATACGTGACGGACAGCTATGTATGTATGTACATATAAATAGCGTTACCTCCTGTCCTGACCCTGCGGGCAGGCAGTGCTCTGCGGTCACACGGCCGCCTCGGGGCCTAGGTCACCCATGTGTCCATGCGCATGCGCTTCACGGACGGGCTCTCTCTGTCCTCGGGGTTGGGGGGCCGGCCCAGCGCCACCGGGGAGTGGAAGTCCGCCCGCGGGTCCTCCCGGTCGCTGCCGTCGTAGGAGCTGCTGGAGCTGCTCAGGCTGTCCACAGGGGAGCGCCCCACTTCCTGCCGGGGCTGCGCGGGGGGCTGGGCGGGCGGCGGCGGCTGCTGCTGGAAGCCCGAGGGCGTCACGCGGTCCCGAGGCGGCGAGACAGGCTCCGACTTGATGCTGACGTTCTGGTTGGTGGTGGAGAGGCTGGAGCCCTGGGAGAGCTGCGCGCCGGGCCTGCAGGGACGGGTCAGCGGGTCCTGGGCGTGCGGCCCCGGGGTAAGCCGCCCCCTCCCCTGAGCAGCTTCAGGCGGGGGAGGCTGCCAGACCGCAGGGGGAACAGGCCCCGTCCCCCCACCGGCTATTCCTAGGTGTCCCTCCAGGAGGCAGAGCGCAGGCCCGGGGCCACGGAGGGCTCTGCTACGCCACCCTAGCTGCTCCCCGGCCTCCCGTCCTGCTGGTTCTGCTCCTCCTGTGCGTGAAGTCTGCTCCCGGGGCAGCCTGTCCCCTCCAGCGGGGGGAGTGTCTGACAGGTGCTTGTGTGGGAAACAGCTGAAGGACCTGCCCAGGAGCAGGCTCTCTTGGTGAGGCTTCCTGTGTCTGTGTGTGGGTGTGTGTGTCTGCTCGACACCCGTCCTCTCATCCTCCCCTGGGACCGCGAGCCCAGGCCTGTCTGTGGTGGAGGGAGGGTGTGGCGAGGGGGAGGCGGGGGGTGCGTGGTGCCGTCCTAGACCACAGCCTGGCTGCCTGAACCTCCTCAGGGAGCGCCTCTGCGCGCAGCCTCCCAGCCCGCACAGGGTTTTCCTCCAAACCCTGGCGCCTGATCACTGGGGGCGGGAGGACGGAGGCCAGGGAGCGGGGGGAGGCGGCGGGTACTCACACCAGGGAGCTGAGCGCGGCCGGGCCCAGGTGGTGCTGCTGCCAGGCGGACACGGGGCCCAGGGACAGCATGCCCGGCGAGTTGAAGCCCTGCAGGGCCGACAGGTCCGCACTGGTCAGCGAGTAATCTGCAAGAGAGGGCGCTGGTGGGCACGGTGGTCCGGTCCTCGTTTCTGGACACGGGGGCTTACCGGCCTCGCTGCTTCCAGGATCCGGGGTCGTGTCAGTAAGGAGCTCCCGTGTTTGCCAAATGGTCAGTTTATAACGTCACAAAAAGTGGAGATGCTTGTCAATCGCCCAAGGCTGTTGCTAGGCAACTTATTTTAAATGCTCCCCTCCCTGTCCTTCCCGCCACTAGCATCCTAAACACAGACACCTCCAGCTCCTGCACACGTCCCTGTCCACTCATCTCAGGGAGGCAGGGCCAGCTCCCTGGGCAGCCACACGTCGCTGCACAGCTCACCCCTCTGCTACAGGCTGCCATCACCCTCAAGAGCAAGTGCACGGCTCCCGTTTCCCCTCTGACAGCCACGCCGCCCACCCCTGCTGGACTGTCCTCTGCGATGTCCGCGCCTCATCTCCTCCACGCCTGCGCCTCTGCTCCTTACCCAGCGGCTTTCATCTCGCTGCTCCAGCCCAACCCGGGGGTCACCCTTGACCCTTCTCTCCCAAGTCTGGCCCATGTGGCCTTGTTCAACCCCCCCGCCACACACACACACCCACACACACACACACAGTGACCACAACAGCTAGGACACCTCCCTGCGGAGAGCCCCAGCGCCCTCCGGCCCGGGCCACGCCCTCCTTCAGCCAGAGCGGGACGGAACGACTATAACGCTCATTCCCCCAGGGACCCTCCGTTCCCGTTCCCCACGCCCGCCCTCCTCCAGGCAGGCCTGCGGGGAACACTCGGTGTCTGGTCCACCCCCGGCCCCAGGTCAGCCCAGCTCCACTCACCCCGCCGGCCCTGCAGTCCCAGCTCTAAGTGGTGGCCCCCCAGTTCCCAGCACAGGGCTGTGCTGCCTGGCTCAGCATCCCAAAGCCGGGATGAGCCCCCTTTCCCGCCCACACTGGAAACCGTAGTGACGTTTCCCAGCCGCACCGTTTCAAGTGGCTTCTGTTCTAAGAAGCGAGTCTCAGAAGCTGGCAGGCGTGTACGTCCATAAACGTGTGTGACAGTCACAGACGCACAGGCGGTGACAGAGCGAAGGCGTGCGCCGCTTACCCGTGTTGTAGGCGGTGGGCATGGCCGAGTACACGAGCCCCTGGGGGGGCAGGCTGGGCGTCGTCACGGACACCACGGGGGTGGCGAGGGGCTGGGAGGCCTGCGAGCTGCCGATCCGCTGCGCGCTCTGCGGGAGGGGGGGGGGGTCGTCAAGAGGACAGGCTTTGCAGCCATGGTTCAGGCCCCTCGCCTCTCACCCAGGGCTGCCGGCTGCTGGCCTGGCACCGTGAGCAACGCCATCAAACACCAACGGCTTAAGTACCAGGCCGGCCGGGGAACCAAGTTCCTGGCCCAGGACCAGCCCTCCCCGCCAGGCCTGGGCCTGCAGCCGGAGTGCGGTATATTGTAGGTCTGTGACCCGAACATGGGTCTCTCGCTGAGGACCCAATCTCAGCTCTCTTCCTGGTTTGTATTTCCTGTATGACCTTCAGGCAGAGAATGTGGGTCCATTGCCCGGGTTTGGTCCCGGACCCGCCAGCTCACAAGCACCGGGAACCATCCCCCCCCCCCCCCCCAGCAGAACCTGTGGTCCGAGGTCCCACAGGACTGGGGTCCGGGCCAGGCCCCAGGCTGGCAGGAGGTACAGCTGGTCTAGAATTGGGGTGTTGGGCCGAAACCAGTTTGGCTCAATGGATAGAGCGTTGGTTTGGGGACTGAAAGGTCCCAGGTTTGATTCCAGTCAAGGGCATGTGCCTTGGTTGAGGGCACATCCCCAGTAAGGTGTGTGCAAGAGGCAACTGATTGATGACTCTCTCTCATCAATGTTTCTAACTATCTCTCTCCCTTCTCTGTACAAAATCAATGATATACATAATTAAAAAAAATAGAATTGGGATGTTGGGCCTGGCTTCAGGACACCTCCTTCCTCACTTTTAGGTCAAAGCCATCATGATTCTATCCCAAGTTCAAACTACATACTACATTTCAACATATGGTGTTTGGCGCTGTGACTTCCAGAACCACTAGAGGGCGACGTATTCCTGGCTAATCCACAAAGACACATTCATGACAACTTCAGGGTAAACAGTGACATCTAGTCTAATATAAATTATTTTCTCTCGAATTGTAAACTTCCATTTGTAATCATTACTGTATCGTTAAGTATTTTCCCGATAGATAATCCAAATCTGCACGTAACATAATCCGTCACAGTGACAGCTAACGAGTGGATGGAAGTTAACCAATACGAACCACATCCAAATCTACGAGCAGTCACCAAGTTCAATAAAGAATGAGCCCTGTTTTAAAATAAACTAATAGTGCAAAACACGCCAGCATGCACACACAACCCTCCCCCATACACACACACACGTGTGTAAATAAAACCTTTTAAGAGATGGCACTCCACATGCATTCATGCAGACCCCCGTCTGTGCTAAAAATGAAACATTTTCAATACTTCATTCCCCTTAAAGTCCTAATTAGCAGCTGACTTTGAATTTGATCACTTCTGTGAGGTTTGAGTTTTAGTTTGCAAAGAAAAAACCTTAACTGAAAGTTATTTTTAATCCAGCTTAATTTCTAGAAGAAAAGCCAATAGAAATGATGTTTTGGAAAAGGTATTAACAGCTACTTTGTTTTGGGAATGAAAAGCGTTCTGCTAGAAAGCAGTAAGCCTGTCTGTGGCCACTGATGGGGATCCCTCTGGCGCACGGAGCGAGCCAGCTCTGCAGAAGGTGACCTCACCAGCAGTGACGTCACCATCTTGAGAGAAACAACACAGCCATGTGCTACACCATGAAGGTGAGGTCATCGTCTAAGTATATGCCAGTAACTTGGGAGCTAGGCAGGGCGTTTTGCATCTTTCCTTAAAAGCTGGGACAACTGTCTCTGGTCACCGACAGCTACTGTTGATTCCAATGTTCCCTCCAGCGAACAGAATGGATCAATGACAGTAAACTAGACGCCCATCACAGCAGGCTGGCTTAGTTATTTAGTGTTTCTATCGTGTTTGGTAACAAGAAGAAATCTGTGTAGCAAAGGGAACACTGGTTGTTAAACATCGAGTTAGTACTTTCCACATCTTTTCACGTCACTGTGACAGATACCCCACTCACCAGCTCCAACTCCTCTTCCTCCGACTGCGCGGCACAGAGAGGGAGAAGAGAGGCATTAGCGGACTCAGGAGGGGCTTCAGGGAAACATGGGACACGGGGTGCAGGACTCCCCCGAGATCTGCACACGGGGCCGCACAGGTGACTTACTGTCCGTGCTGTGGCCGCCCTGCTCGGGGAGGGGCTCCAAGGCCTCTCCCCAGCTCCACCCACCCTCTGGCTGCACCGGCCGCGGGGTTCAGTGGCGTCTCCGGATGAAAAGTCCTTTGCTTAGGACAGTGGTCAGCAACCTGTGACTCACGAGCCACATGCGGCTCTTTGGCCCCTTGAGTGCGGCTGGGCGTTAGAACCACTTCTTCAAACAGACTCGCCCAGGCCCGAAGCTTCAATCGCACTGTACATGCACCCACATGGGGTATTTGTGGAAGGGCCACACTCCAGGGCCAGAGGGCCGCATGTGGCTCGTCGCCGCGTTTGCCGACCGTTTAGGACTCCCCATCTGGGCCTGGCTCTTCCGTACTAACCTCCCCTGCTTCCTCCCCCAGCCCAGGCCGGGGCCGGGAGAACGGCTAACGCACAGGACATGTGGGAGCCCGGCGTGAGCGCCCACTGCACAGTGCCTGCCGGGCGCTGGCAGCATCTCCTTAAGGAACTCAGGCTGAGGGAGCCCGCGCTGCCCGCCCAGAGGCCCCCCGGAGCCGCTGGGAAGCTGTGTGAGGGCGTCCCCTACAGGCCAGGGGCAGGCCCGCTCTGCTCCCAGCCACAGGCTGCGGAGACAGCGAGGCTGGGACGACGCAGACACGGCCAGCAGCCAGGCCAGAGACTGTATTCTTACAGGCTCACAGGGGAAGGTTTTTGAGAAATAATAAACTTACTTGCAAAATAACTCATTCGCGTTTTTATGCATTCTTCCCTGTTCCACACAGTTCCCCGTGGAGTGCAGTTTTCTAACAGATAACAGCTTCCTCACGGAAAGCAGGCCCAGAGGAGAAAGACCCTCCCTGTTCAGCTTTCATTTTAAATAACCACTCTGGCTCTCCAGACTCTGATTTCTGTGTATGCTCACTTCCCATGGACATAATCATTAGGAACAAGTTAGATTCTAGGAAAGTACGAACATTTCAAAAGAAAACAGACAGCCCAGGACGATACGGCTGTGACCGAGCATCCAGTCCCTGGTGGCAGGCTCCATCCCCAGAAGGGGGTGTGCAGGAGGCAACCTATCAGTGATTCTCATCATGGATGTTTCCCTCTCTCTACCCCTCTCCCTTCCTCCGACATCAATAAAAACATACGTTTAAAAGGAAACACAGCCCGGAGTGCGTTGGACACGCGCTCTGAGGAAGGAGACGAGGAGGTGACGTACCAGGGGGGGCATCATGCCCTTGCTGGACGGAGGGATGACGACCCGCAGGTCCGGCTTCCGGCTGTTCATGCCCAGGCTGCCGCCACCTGGAGGGGGGGGAGACTTTGTAGGCATCACTTTGCCTAAGCTATTCGCACCCGTGGCTCCAATTACATTTGGAGAAGCTCTTGAGTTTACAAAGCTGTTGCCTGGAAGAGAGAAACATCCCTCATTACCAAACACAGCCATTCACGGACTGGGTGCGAGTCTGAAGCAAGCGTCCCCAGTTCTGATTTCAGGCGAGTTCTGCAAGGCAACGCATTAGCAGCTCCCCGTGTACCTTTAATGTTTTTAAATAAGCAGAAGAGGTTGGCCCAAGCGTGAAACAGATATGACGCTTAAGCTCCATGGACTACTGTATCTCACAAACTAGAACATTTGGAATATTTTTACAAAATATTCCAGAAATGTACATGGAACCACAAAAGACCACGAGTAGCCATAGCAATCCAGAGAAAGAAAACAAAGGCAGAGGTGTCTCGCTACCTGGCATCAAACTACGATACAAAGCTATAGGAATCCAAACAGCATGGCACTGGTGTAACACCTGACATGTGGGCAAATGGGATAGGAGAGACCCCCCGCCCCCCAAAAGAAAACACTGCGTCTATGTGGTCAAACATAGCAAAGGAGGCAAGCACACACAATCGAGTGAAGACAGTCCACTTGGGAAAAGCCGCTCCCTCGGCCCCCTTCCCTCCTCCTCAGCAGAGGCCCGTGGGGGGGGGGGGCATTCCCTCCAATGCACCCGCAGGACGCACTCACCGACGGGGCTGCTCCCAGCTCCATTGGGCACCGTGAGGTCCGCCGAGCTCAGCATCCCACCTGGGGGGGAGCGGACAGGGAGGAGGAGCTGGCACCGCCTCCGCGGAGGAAGAAGTGCACAGAGTGTCCGCCCTCCACGCCCAGGACCCCAGCCCCGCCGAACTTGGCCCTGACAGGTAACCCACGTGGGTTAGGTTACCAGCCGTCCCGTAAGTAAGGATACAAAATAACCACCGCCACAGTGAAAGCACAAACAATGTAACTAGCGCAGTAATTAATACATGACCGGGCAACTGGGTCAGGCCAGACAGTGCTCGCTGCGGGGGGACAGTGCTCAGGGGGCAATACAGACCAGGGCACGGAGGAGGGCGCGCATCCCCGAGGGAGGCCGTCCAGGCGCTGAATCCCGCTGGTCAACCCACACGTTCGGCAGGGGGCATGCAGGAGGCAGCCCATCCATGGTTCTCTCTCATCACTGATGTTTCTCTCCCTCTTTTTCTCTTTCTCTCATCACTGATGTATGTTTCTCTCTCTCTGTCTCTCTCTCTCTCTCTCTCTCTCTCTCTCTCTCTCCCCCTTCCTGAGATCAATAACAATATATTTTAGAAAATGCTTTAAAAGAAAGCCAATGATTGTTTATTAAACAGGAAGACTAAGAGGAGCAGCACTAGTTTGGGGTTTTCGCCCTCTCTGACGAAGAGCTGCCGGGCAGCTGTCCCGCCTACCTGCGCTGCCGGTGCTGGGCGGGCGCTGCGGGGCGCCGGGGGACACGGTCCGGTGCAGGGCGGCCTGCGGCGGCGAGAGCATGCCCGAGTCCGCCAGCGCCGAGCCGGCCGCCAGGGCCGGGGACACCAGGGTGCTCCCGGGGCTGGTGTAGGACAGGGCGTTGGGGCTGCTCACGGGGACCGTGACGGACATGGAGAAGTTCTGAGGCGGCAGCGCGGGCTGGAACGAAAGAACAGGAGGAGGAGCTGTTAGCTTCATCCCATCTGCGTTCCACTGTTCACATCTAACACTGTTCACATCTATGTTAAACGTGTTCACATCTATGTTACACTTCACATCTATGCTAAACGTGTTCACATCTACGTTAAACGTATGAACTTTAATAGCTGACTAGTTGTTAAAAGTAGAAGATGGGGATAGATTCTTACTAAATTTTCACCCCGCAGATGTAAGCTATTTCCTTTACAATTATATTTAAACAGCAGTATGTCTGATATGAACCGTTGCAATTTCTTACGTATTAATACATATATTCTGAAATAATGCGTATGTTATGATTTCAGACATTCATAGAGATGAAAAAGTCAACCTAATATTAAAGTACTGTGGTCAAATTTAGACATACAAAATGTATCAGTTACCGAGTAAGCATAAGTCATCACTTTAATGAAACCAGTTTAGTAACATTACATTTCTACTGGGAGATTCCTGTTATAATAAAAAGGGCAAAGTGTGTACAAATATTATAAACTTAATACACAGAATTTCAGACGTTATAAATAACCCTGGAATGATTTAGTTGACTGACATCCTTAATGGACAAAACTAAAAACAACAATTAAGTTACATATGTAGCACAAAGCAATCCAAGTATAACGAAAGAGAAAAATAACCTAAACAATAAAATTAACAACCGACAAGCTGTCTAAATTGTACGATGATCAAATTATAACTATTATCAATGTTATCTTCCTTCCCTCCAAACAGTCCACACCCCTTTAAAATATATTCTATTTCCTCTTTCATTCCTGCACAGGCGTGTTAACCACGATAAACAAATTTTCATAATTTAAAATGAGAGAAGCCCTTACTCCTCAGACTTTTTGAAGTGATTTGCAAAGCAACGAAACTGCTAATTCAGAGTTGGTATATATTCTATTCAATAGTTCATTCCAGGTAGAAAGTTATGTCATTAACAGACACAAAACAATGGACATAAGATTTAAAATTTTTTCAAACGTAAATACTTATATTTACACTTTTTTTTTTTTTTTGCAGCTTAATATTAACTGCGGACAGTGATGGTATTAGCACAAAAATACCCGCCTAAGTCTATCTTTCATGAGTGGCCTGTGCAGCATAAAACTGGTTTGAAGAACAGCCCAGGATGCGTCCTTCAGGGCATAGTGTTAATAGCATTAACTCTGACATGACGTTAAGTACCAGCATCCGAACCAACGTGTCCCATCGGCCCACACGGCTCCCGCAGCGTTGGGAACGGGGGTCCGAACGGGGGCTGTGAGCTGCTCTTGCCAATGGGGCGCCGATGCGAGCGCTCTGAGGCGGCTCTGAGGAGCGCGAGCTCAGAGAAAGACCGTCTCCTGACGGCTGGAGACGTGAGCGCGGACCGTTCTGAGCGGCGCCTCACTCTGCACCGGGTTAGAGTGCAGCTTCTTAAACAAACAGAACCAGGCTCCTCCTCAGCACCCACGGGCTCGGCTCAGCTCAGCACCGGAGGCACTGCTGCCAAGTGGCTTGGAGACATTTACAAAGAGCCAATCAGGAAACTGCTCATTCAGAGTTGGAATTAGCAACTATTGGAATTAGCATACAACATGTTGTATGCTGTTACAGCGGCCATACAACGTGAGCAAACATAATTTTGAGCCCCACGAGTGTGGCTCGGTGGTTGAGCATCAACCTGTGAACCAGGACGTCACGGTTCAATTCCCAGTCTGGGTACATGCCTGGGTTTTGGGCTCGATCCCCAGTAGGGGGCGTGTAAGAGGCAGCCGATCCATGATTCTCATCACTGATGTTTCTCTCTCTCTCCCGCTCCCTTCCGCTCCGAAATCAATAAAAATGTATTTTAATAATAATTTTAAAACACCACATTTTATAATAAAACTAACCACTTTATACTCCATAGTCTCAAGATCTATTTAAAGTGCATGAGATATTTTTTAAGTCATAGGAAGGAGGGGGCAGTCATACGCACCCTACAGTTAAAATCGCTGAAGTTTAGAGCTGACGAGACCTTAAACATCACGTGAGGCAACTCACTCTCTTTACAGAGAAGGAAACGAATCCAGGATGGGGTGGGTGCTCTATCCCAGTGGTCAGCAAACTGCGGCTCATGAGCCACATGCGGCTCTTTGGCCCTTTGAGTGTGGCTCTTCCACAAAATACCACGGCCTGGGCGAGTCTATGTTGAAGAAGTGGCGTTAAGAGAAGTTTAAAAAAAATTTGGCTCTTAAAAGAAATCTCAATCCTTGTGCCATTGGTATTTGGCTCTGTTGGCTAATGAGTTTGCCGACCACCGTAGGAAGTGAGCCTGTATTAGAATGTTCCTCTCATGTCTATGTTTAAGGCACTGAGCATGTCTGATAAGATCTCAGCAATTTCGACCTAAAGTTCTATAAAACAGAATAAACTATGCCTTTTCCCCTCCTCCTCCTCATCACTGCCGTCACTGAAAACAAGCAAGGCGTGTATGGTCAGTCTCCATGCACAAGTTAGAAGCACAAACCAGACGTCAGTACTCACTGCGATCTTATGATTCCGCATCATATTATCAAACTCCTCATTAATTTTTTTATACTTCTCCTCTGTATGTGGCGTTAGCACATAGGCAGTATCGGGGTCTGGGCTGTCGCACCCTCGGTGCTCCTTCTTGTTGAGAGCCTAAACGGTGAAGTTAACAAACAGGATCAACACATCACAAGTAGAGGTGAGGCGGGCGTACTTACAGGGCCTCGCTTGAAAATAAAATCACCCTCTTCAGTTAGTTTGCTGAATCTGTCCTCCGAGAGTGGACTGTGCTCAAAGTAATCGTCAGCATCAGGGCTCTCACAACCATTAAGGCCTTTCTTTCTTAACGTCTGAAATACAATCGGAGAGTTCACACACACAGGGTACTGCCGTGCCACGGTTTCCTGCAAAACCCACTAGAGCCGCCGGCGTGGTCTCGCGTGGTCACAGGGACGTGGGTCCTCAGTGAGGCGTCAGCACCGGGATGTCCCCTCTACACCAACTGCAAGGACCCTGTTTGGACTCGCCCTTCCCACACCTCCAGGAGAAGAGGATCCACCGCTCCCTCTCTCTCTGTGACAGCCTGCCCGAGGGGAGCCCCGCCCTCCCAGGAGGGGGCTAATGTGAGAGAACCCCAACAGAAATGGAGCACGTGCTGCCCTGGGAGTCAGGATAACCTTTCAGCAGCTTCGCCTCCTGACACTGAGCCTGAGAGTGTGTCCTAATCCAAAGAGCATCCCCAAATGTCATTCTCCACCTGCTCTCAAACACCATCATTTTCCTACTTAACTCAGAAGTATAAAAACTCAAATATAGAATATATGATAATGCCGGTTTCTTCCGATATACAATCAATGTACGCGTGCCCTGACATATTTTTAAAATGTGTAAACATTCTCTCCCCTGCCCTTTCCACAGCGTCGCTGACCATGGCACCCAGCGCTCTGCAGCGGGCCCCGCTCCGGCCTGCGGGCTCACTCGCCCCGGGGGCTGTGCGCGTGGCCATAAAAGGTCCTGCTGTTCAGAACACAGGGGGGACCCCCGCCCCGCCTGCAGCCGCTATCGCAGGAGGTGTTAGCACTCAGACGCTGCGGCCTGGCCTCCACAGCCACGGCTGCCGCGGACACACAGCAGGTGCCCCGCACATGTCACCACCGAGGGGCCGCGGACCGATCCGGCCCCGACGTCCAGGTTCCCTCATCGCCCATCAGCTTCAGGCCAGACAGCCCCGTCCGGCACGGCCACTGACGGCGTCACTCAGCCCGCGTCCCTGCGAGCACCTGGGCTGCCAGAGAAACAGGCACCGTGCTCCCTGGCCAGCGGCGGGCGCCCCGAGTTCTGGGGAGCGGGCCCTCCGGGGCCTGCCCTGCAGGGAAGGTGAGAGCCCTATCAGCCCCGCAGATAACACTGATGTGCCTCCGCCGGGAGCCAGCGCCCTCTTATCGCCGGAGCAGGAGAGCGGCCGAGGCCCAGCTGCCTAAAAAGGCTTTTCTGTCTCCTTATCGCGGCCAGCGCGCCAGAGCGAGTGGAATGCTGTGATCTCAGCGGGCGCGGGAGAGACAGGCCAGCCTCGGCTCACGGCTGCACAGGAGCCGCCACCGGGGAGCTCCGAGCCGGGCCTGACCCACTGCGGCTTCGCCTACTGCCTGGGAGACCAGAACGTTCCTCAGGGCGTGCTCAGTTCCGCAATAACTGTCTGATCACACTCCACACCAAGGGAGCTCAGCCCTCAGGTAGAACGAGGGGCCGGGAAGCACTCCGATGCTCCTGCCTGCGCTCTCACCCCCCAGCTGCTCCATGCTCTCGCCACCCACCCCTCACTTCTGCAGCGCATGATCCCCGGGGCCGGTGGGATGGGTCAGATGGAGCACACGTACAAGTGAGCACGTGTAACGTAACAGAATAAGGTCTTAAGCTGCAAGGAACTTGGACCACTAGGATTTGTCAAATAAGAAAAGCTCTCCTTTTCCCCATTTTTAGTAATTGTTCCCAATGTTGACTCTTCTTATAGTTCCTAGACAAGTTGAAAATACATAAACATTTAATTTTTTTAACTGTGAAGCATACATAAAGAAAAGCATATCAAGCCTGGATGGCATGGCTTGGTGGTTGAGCATCGACCTGTGAACCATGGGTCACGGTTCAATTTCCTGGTCAGGGCACATGTCTGGGTTGCAGGCTCCATCCCCAATAGGGGGCGTGCAGGAGGCAGCCCATCAGTGATTCCAGAGAGAGGAAGGGAGAGGAGAAAGAGAAGCATCTATGACCCCCCTACTGGGGATCAAGCCCGAAACCTGGTCATGTGCCTTGACCAGGGATTGAACCGTGACCTCATGGTTCACGGGTCGACAAGCCACGCCGGCCGGACTATATGTTCATTCTGGCAGCTAGTCTACACAGCTGCTCACACGTCTCTAAAGCACGTGACTGAAGCTGTTAGTTCACTAAACGTTACCCTCAGTCCTACCGGACGGTGCCAAGCTGGTTCCAGCGAACTCTCCCACCTGCGCCGAGGCCTGGCTGTGCGTTCCTCCGGGACTGAGAACACAGCGCAGGCCCTATCTCCTGGCCATTTGCGTTTTCTCCTGTGAAGTGCCTGTCAAGCTCTCTGCCAAGTTTTCTCCCGAGCTGTTTCTCCTCCTTATTGCTTGAGAGTCTTTTTATGTGTCATCAGCACAAGTCCTCTGCTAATTTTATGCACTGTGAAAACCTCTCCCCACTCTTGGGCGTGTTTTTTTTAATACTTGTCTTGGGATGAAAATGGTTCTTAGTTTTTTTGGGTTATTTGTTTTTTTTTTAAATATGTATTTTATTGATTTTTCACAGAGAGGAAGAGAGAGGGATAGAGAGTTAGAATCATCGATGAGAGAGAATCATCGATCAGCTGCCTCTTGCACACCCCCTACTGGGGATGTATGTGCCCGCAACCAAGGTACATGCCCTTGACTGGAATCGAACCCGGGACCTTTCGTCCGCAGGCCGAAGCTCTATCCACTGAGCCAAAGCAGTCCCGGCTGGTTCTTAGTTTTAATAAAGTCAAGTTCATCCAATTCCCCCTTTACAGTTAGTTCTCCCTTATGGCAGTAATTTCTGTGTCTATGTAAGAACACTTTCCCTTCCTCAAGTATGGGGTGTGGGGGAGGCAGCCGATCAATGATTCCCTCTCACCCTTGATGTTTCTCTCGCTCTCTCCCTCCCTTCCCCTCTGACATCAATAAAAATATTCTTTTAAAAAACTGAAAGGTGGATAAATGAGTGTCGTGTCTGTCTCACTATGTTTATCCCGCAATATTCCAACACCAACAGCTATAATATGTATTTAGCATGATGCTCCCAGACAACAGACCAGGTCTAACTCCACAGGCACAACACACGTGTGCTCACACTGCAGACATGCAGGCTGCTAACAACACAGGACACCACCACCCCCCTCGTCACAGCGGGTCCCCAAAGGGCTGGTGTGTGGGACACAACGGACACACATCTGCGGCTGACCCCGCCTTACTGTTCAGCACTCTGCCGAGGGACATTCAGGTGAAACCCTGCCCGCTGGAGAGACTGACAAATACGCCACCCCAAGTCGGGGCACACACTCTGTGGGGCGTGCGGGAGGCAGCTGACCCATGATTCTCTCATCACTGGTGTTTCTCTCTCCCTCTCCCTTCCGCTCTGACATCATTAAATTATATTTTACAAAGGACACGGCTCGGAGAGGGGAGGTGTCTGACGGCGCCGCCTGTGGGATGGAGACTAAGCGGAGCGGCCCTCACCTCGACGATGTCGGAGTTGGTGCGGCTCTCGTGCGGCTCGTTGTACTCGGTGTACTTGAGCAGCACCTTGTCCATGTCGGTGCTGGCGTACTGGAACAGCTTGTTGGAGCTGTTGAAGATGATGAGCGCGATCTCGCAGTCGCAGAGCACGCTGAGCTCGTAGGCCTTCTTCATCAGCCCGAACTTCCTCTTCGTGAAGGTGACCTAACGAGCGGGGAGAGGCCTCTTAGGAAAAGCGTTCGTCGCCCTGCCCGGGCGGCTCCACCCAGGAACCGAGAGGTCACGCACGGTTCCACTCCCGGTCAGGGCACAGGCCTGGGGTGCGGGCTCCGTCCCCAGCGGGGGCGTGCAGGAGGCAGCCGGTTGATGATGTTTCCCTCTCTCTCTCTCTCTCTCTCTCTCTCTCTCTCTCTGTCTCTCTTCCTCCCTTCCAGTCTCTCTAAAATCAGTAAAAATAAAAATAAATGTTGGAATTATCGGGCCAGCAATTCAAAACAGCTATGAGGACCATACTAAGGCTCTCGTGGAAAAAGTAGACAGCATGCAGCAACAGGTGAGCAGAGAGATAGAAACTATTTTATTTTATTTTTATTCTCTTTAAATGCTGCCAGTAAAAAAAAAAAAAAAAAAAAAAAAAAAAAAAAAAAAAAAACTAACATAAAGGAATCATCTTTGGTGGGTCCATCAGCAGGATGGAACTAATGAGAAAGAAACCTCTGAGCTTGAGGACATGCCAACAGAAACTGCAAACAGCAGCAGAGAAGAAAGAGAAATCACAGAAGAAATATTTGAATCGTAACATTTGAGAATTTCCCCAAATTAATGTTCAGACACCAAACCACAGATCCGGGAAGCTCAAAGAACACCAAACAAGACAAATCCAAACAACAAACAAAAACCCCTCCAAACCCCAAGATGACAGCAAGGCATGTTGTTTGTAAACTGTATAAAATCAAAGGTAGAAGCATCTTGAAAGAAGCCAGAGGGGGAAAAACACCTTATCACGGGCGTGTAAATGTAAGAACCAAATCCAAGTTCTCCTCTGACGCCACCCAACGAGGACGAGCACACTGATAGGTTTTAAGTGGCGGAGGGCGGGGAGGACCCGCCAGCCTAAAAGCTGTATCTTGAGGAATTGTACTTCAAAAGAAATAAAGACCTTCCCAGACAAACAAAAATTGTGGTGCGCAGGGAAAACAGTTTATTGCTGCATTATTATTGTTGAGGGCATATCCCCAGTAGGCAGTGTGCAGGAGGCAGCTGGTCAATGTTTCTCTCTCATTGAAGTTTCCAGCTCTCTATCCCTTTCCCTTCCTCTCTGTAAAAAAAAAAAAAATCAATGAAATTTATTCTAAAGAAAAGAAAAAAATATTTACATCTGTTAAACAGATAAGTTAAGATGTTCATTTACCTGTCGGTTCCTTTCATCCATTATGCGCGTGATTTGTATTTTCTTCCGCCCCATTTTCGGTCACCTTTCCTCCCTTATATTCCAAATATTTAATTAAAAAATTGCTCTTCTTCAATAGCCTAACGCATCATACTTGGCTCCTGTTATTGCAGCTGCTGGTCCACGGGCTGCCGCCGAAATTTTAAGATCTAAAAAACAAAACAAAACACCAATTCGAAAATTTAAGTTCTACAGATTTGCATAATTATGAAAATGCTGCACAAACTTCAAACCTGATTTGCTGCTGCACGTTGACAGGATGATTAGTTAAAACCAGTAAGTAAGGCGAAGCCCTTCCTCCCAGGCTCAGGCCCTGGTCGGAGCGTGTGCAGGAGGCAACCCATCCATGTGTCTCTCTCACATCGATGTTTCTCTCTCTCTCTCTCTCTCTCTCTCTCTCTTCCACTCTCCTTAGAAATCAATGGGAAAATATCCTCAGGTGAGAACAAAAGAAGCTGAAGCCTTATTCATTTGACCCCTAGAATCTCTCTAAGTCTTTCTGTGCCTCTAGCCCTGGCTAAAAGGTGCAACTGTCACCTCTGAGTTTCTCCTCGACGCTTCTGACTGTAGCCGCTGAGACTGTTCTGTGCGCCGGCCATGCTTCTACATGCCGGACACATTCTCATTCATTCTCTCCTCACTGCAATCTTCTGAGTCGGCTGTAATTATCTCACTGGGTAACTAGGATTCCTGACGCAGAGACAGTGAGGAATGTGCCCAGGGTCATCACAGTATGAACACAAGGAGTCTTGCTGCAAAGCTGCTCCTCTTACACACTATTAAACATCCTTAAAAGCTTCTGATGGCTAACAATCTGGAGAGTTCCTATTTGCCTTTACAAATTTCCTGCAAACTGCCAGCGACACCAGCAGAAGTGCTATTGGTCAACCCACCAAGACACTGCCTGCTTCCCTAATGACATGCACTGGTGTTACGCTCTTCTGTCAGATATTTAACGAGCTCCTTACCAACGGGAATGGCAGCTCCCGAGGAAGCCACAATCAATGCCCCGAGCAGAATAAACCCAGCACCTTACTGGGTGGGTGTGGGCCTATGGACCCCATGTCTGTTTTCCTCTGACTCCGAGGATCATTCATCAACAAGGATGTTCTATTCACTTTATCTCCACAGTGGAACGGCTGGCAATTATATAACTTGTCATGTTGTGAATGACAGCTCTGTCAAAACCTAGTGCTTTCAAAACTTCCGTGATAAAAATATTTTTGAAGTGATGGGAGACAAATACTATAATTCAGGCAAAATTAATACAGTAAAAAAAAAAATCAGTGTAAACTGAACTCTCAGATAATTGAATTATTTTTGTAGTAAGTAATTTTAAAAAAATCAGGAATTAGAGTTTAAGAAAGATCCCAATATGGGTTCTGTTGTCTTAATTTTCGAGATACCAGAATCTAGCGCTCAAATTAAGACCAAGTCATTTTAATACTGATTACAGATGTTCAGTCTTTTACAATCAATTTTGTTTACTGTGGCTTAAGTACATAAATATTTTAAGAGCACGGACTTTAAACAAAAGGTGAACTTTACTTTCAACTTGGCCCTTATTAAATAAACACAACTCATCAGAACACGCCATTTGGATGATTCTAATAATCAACTACCTGTTAAATTTTATCAAAAGCTACTAAAATAAAACTACTTTCTAATAAAGTAACCCTGTACAATCAACAACTGAATGCTTTTAACAACCAAATAGGCATCTGTCGTGAGGATGATTTGGATAAGGATTCATTCCTTCTTTCAAAGAGGAACTTAACACATCGCAGACAGACACCAGAATTCTCACATCCTATTACACAGTGTTTTACAAAGGCTTTTCCTAACCAAATGACTAAAAAAAAAGCATTTGAAAGTCTTCCAAGCAGCCCAAATGAACAAAAAAATTTACATACGGGGTACAGAATAGCATCAGATTTTCTGTCAAAAACTAAGCAAGCAGACATAAGAGAAAGCAATAAAACAAACAAACAAACAAACAAACAAAACTATGTGAGCTATTTCAGAAACTATTTCACAACATATTACCAGAAATAAAGAGGGCCATTTCAAGACAGTGGACCCAATTCATCAAGAAGACATTAAAAAACAAAACAAAAAAAACAACAACACTGAATATGTATGCACCTAATTATAGAGCTTCAAATTCCACGAGCCAAGTAGGGAAAGGAGCCCACAATCAATGCTGAAGAGTCCACACTGCTCTCAGCAGGTGGTGGAATAATAGGAAATCAGAAGGGGTAAGTCTCTAACCGCACTATCCATCAGTGTGACCGAATTAAAATTTCAGAAAGCTGCACTCAACAAGTGCAGAACGTTTAGTGCACACCAAACAGTCACCAACACAGACAACATCCTCCACCTATACAAATACACAAAGTATGTTCTTGGACTGCAACACAATTAAATTAGAAGCCTCAAGAGAAAAATACCCGTAAGAGGTCAACTTCCCCCAAATTGGCCTGTCAGATAAAAGTGTTCATAATAAAAATGCGAGCAGGCATTTTTGTAGACTGACAGCTGATTCTGAAACACGCCAAGAGAAATGGAAAGAACCTAGACTAGAAAAACTCAGGAGTAGAACAAGATTGGAGGGTTTACACCAGCTGCTTTTAAGACTCACCATAAAGCTACAGTATAATCAAGACAGTACAGCGTCGCCATTAAGGACAGATTTATAGAATAATAAAAACAGAATAGGGAGTCCTGAAATACACCCACATAAAATGGTCCATTGCTTTTCAACAAGATGCCAACCTAATTCAATAGGAGACTATATTAGCTTCTCAAATATGTTACATTTGCAAAAAAAAAATAAAATAAATCTCATCCCTTACCTCACACCATATAAAAAAAATTAACTCAAAGTGGATCACAGACCTAAAACAGAAGCCCAAAGCAGTCTAAAACATGACAGAAAAGAAAAAAGGTTAGAAAAGTTTTTGTCCAATCTCTGTGCCAACTCCTCCAATTTCTACTCCAAATTAGGGCAGAGTTATAGGGGGGAATCTCTCATCAGAAGCTTTGAGTCAACATACGAAACTATTGAAAAGGAAAGAGTATTTCCCATCCAAGTCCTCAGCGTGGCTCCTAAGCAGGTAGTGATGAACTCACGCCTCACCCTCAGAGCCACGGAGAGCGTGCCACGGAGAATAAGACACTGGCGAAGTAGAGTACTCCAGGGCTTTGCAATTATGGGCCTATGATTTAAGGCAATAAATTCAAAGTCACAACAAAAGCCCCCATTTTCAAGGATCTCCTTGAAATTAGCTTAACTTTTTTCATTGACCCTTCCCATCTTTCCTGCTATTTGAAAACTCCTTCCTCGGCTCATGTAATTCTCCTCACACCCTCCCATCCTCCTAATTCTTGTCACAATAAAAACAGACTACCCACTGTAGATCTTTTTCTTCTTTAAAAAAAAGCAAACAAATATGGAGGTGGCAATGATGAAAAAATCTGGGGTTATCTGAACAGTGTCAGATAAACTATCACTATATGCTAATATGCACTTCAATTGGCCTCTATAAATCCTTAATTCATCTATGTTAATCCCCAAGGTAAACTCCAAAATGACTGCCATTCAAACTCACAAGATAGTCTGAATGGATCATATTTAACTCCCAAAGTTAGATGTTTAAACAAACCATTTCCATGGCACTCATTTACTTCGTATCAGAGAAAAATGAAAAGTGTCTTACGAGAAATGACGTATCAACAGAAAGTGCACTTAGATAGGATCCTTGAAGATACTTCTTCTTTGTTACTTTTTCACAAAATGCCACTCCTTGATAAAGAAAAAAATATGAGATGGGTTAGTAATTGTTCTTAACTCTGACACAGAATTAAATATATTTCATTATTACAAATTTTAACGTCATGCCTGGCAGGTAGCTCCACAAATACTTGCTGAAAATAGAAAAATAAATGTTTACAAGTCAACTGTTTTATTTGACTAAAAAATATGCTAGGCAAATATTACATTTGCAAAAAAATAAACCTCATCCCTTACCTCATACCATATAAAAAAGTTAACTCAAAATGGGTCACAGACCTAAAACAGATGCCTAAAGCAGCCCAGAGCATGTGTAATGTCACAGATCCATTTTTTCAGGAAGTATTACTGAAATGTTCAGTAACACTGTACGCACTCCAAGATTTACCAAGCGGGCTCCCTGAGCTCCATTTTCCTCCTAGCATATCACATGATAATGTTGTATATCTACCTGGTACACACAGCCTACTGAATTTATGGTTGGATAAAATAGCTGGAAATGTTCACTGTACTGCATACTCACTTAGAAAGACAGCTGTCCGTGCGTGATTTCTATTGCCAGAATACATGTTTGTATTCAGATACAATATGTATGCTTGTCACTTTCACTATCTTTTAAAGGGAACAAAAATGAAGACCACGATACAATGCCAAAAATGAATATAAAACTGATCAATGTCAATAATTCATGTTAACAAAGGAACACTGGGAATACTAACCAATGAATTAGTGAATAAAGAATTGCCGGGACCGGTTTGGCTCAATGGATAGAGCGTCGGCTTGGGGACTGAGAGGTCCCGGGTTCGATTCCGGTCAAGGGCATGTACCTTGGTTGCGGGCATATCCCCGGTGGGGGGTGTGCAGGAGGCAGCTGATCGATGACTCTCTCTCATCGATGTTTCCAGCTCTCTATCTCTCTCCCTTCCTCTCTGTACAAAATCAATAAAAATATATTAAAAAAAAAAAAAAAAGAATAATCCATCCTGCTACATTTTTGCAATAAGACATTTAGGCAGAAAAGGGGAAGATGGTAAAAACCACGCCCCTCTTGACCCCAAATAGCCAGGCTAAATTCTGATGCTAATCCAATAATGTAGACTTGCATGACTGGGTGTCTTGCACGGCTGTAGTTCTTTTATAATTATCTACAATGAAACACACTCCGATCTTTAGAAAATAAAAGCAAAACTAAAATGTTAATCCTTTAGCCAGCGGTAAATAAATGTCATATATTGAACCTCTAAATCCCAGGTTTGTCTGGGCAAGGGCTAGATCCCTGTACTTCTAACTGCTGCCCGCCCCAAACCTGGTCCCGACCAACCACCTAGCTCCCCCTACTTCTAACTAACCTACATGGACCACAAGCCATTGCCCAAACTAGCAAATCAATGTCTGTAACTTTCCTCAGCTTTTTACCCAAGAGAACAAAGAATACCTAACATATATGGCAGGTGAGTAAAAGTCCTTCCTGAGAAAAAGCAGGAGGGGACGTACTGTGTAGGGAGGGACTAAACCGTGAGAAAAGGTATCCAGGGAAGACCAGGGTAATAATAGTAACAAGAACCACTGCCACAGTAGCAGGAACATCTGAGTCTTTATCGTCTGCTAATCGGTAGTCTAATTGCTTTACACGTGTTAACTGATGGAAAGCCAACAATAACCTCATTATTGTCCCCGGGAGGAAACTGAAATGCTAAGAAGCCACTTGCCAAGGTCAGGCAGTGAAGCTGGTGAAGTGGCGAGGCCAGCGTTAGAATCCAGGCGTGCTCCGACAGCTCTGCCTCCCCAACCACAGCCCACGTCACGCCTCTATGAGTGAATTAAGTGACGAAATGAATGCACACTGTAGCAAAGGGCTCAAAAGACCACAGAGCAAACCTCAGCCTCAGAGGCCGAAACAATTGAGCAGCTTCTGATACACGTTGACAGGTACTGCCAATCAATACCTAGAGGTGACAGATGCCCTGACAAATGGCAGGTGGGTACCTGCTGCGAACAAAAATCACAAATGGCTACCTTCTCACTACCTGGTGAAGTGGACTTTAAATTTCTACTGGACAAATAAAACTTACACAAGATAATGTCACAAAAATCACATGGTAAAAAATAATTTTTTTAATAAAGAAGGCACTCAAACAAATGAGACATTATAATTTCAACGATGAGTTAATGCTGAATATGTATTTTATACGTATAAATGGACAAGTTGCTGTCAATTTTCCTTATTAACAAGAAAGGTTAAATGACCAAGATTCCAACTCCTCTCTTCAAATTTTACCAAGCAAACTCCTATTACAATTACTGACCCAAATGACCCAAAATAAATAATTTGATCACTAACTCCTCTCTTGTTATTTATGCCTAATCAGTGAATGCCAATAAGTGAGAAAGCAAAGTGAAATCAGAGCACTGCTGACATGATAGGCAAGAAAATATTCTACGTTGGTGAGAATAAAAGGACTCATATCTAGATATGAACAGACATTTCACCACAGAAAACACATGAAACTCCAATCCTATATAATAAAAGCCTAATATGCTAAGTTCAGTCATCCGTTCAACCAATCAAAGCATAATATGTTAATGATATGCTAAGAATGCTCAACCGTTCATTATGACATGCACTGACCACCAGAGGGCAAACACTCTGAAGGTAGGTTAGCTTGCTGCTGGGGTCCATTTGAAAATGAGTGAGACAAGCCAGACATAGTATATATAGGGTTCGATACTACTTGTGGCTTCAGGCATCCACTGGAGGTCTTGGAATGTGTCCCCTCTCCCCACACACACCATGGACAAGGAGGGGACGGCTGCCCAGTCACGGAAACAGCCAAACCTAAGGAGACGGACAACACCAAGTGTCGATGGGGACGTGGAGAAACTACAGCTCGTATTGCTGGCGAGACTGTGAAACTACACTACGACTTGGGAAACCAGTTTCACAGCTCCTAAGCCACTTAACATACACTTAGCATGTACGGTAAAACATACACTTAGCATGTGATCCAGAACTCCCACTCCGTGGTTTTTGCCAAGAATAACGAAAGCATCCGTCCACACAGGGCTTGTGCCCAAACATACAAAGAAGCTTTATTCTGAATGGCTCCGACTGGAAACAAGCAAGCTGCCCACGGAAGGTGATGGAGGAGGTGTGGAATAAACATATAGTGAACGCCAGGCAACGGAAAACGGAACAAAAACCCGACAGACATAAACATGAATGAATCGCAAAAACATGCTGGCGAGAGAAAAAAAGCAAAACACTAGTTGAGTGCATACGGTATGCTTCCACTCAGGAATAAATGTGCAAATTCTTGAGCCGCCACCAGAGAACATACAAAGATCCAAAATTCACACATGATGCAAGCCAGTCCTCAACACTGGAAAGCTACCTGCGACATACTTTTCTGGCCTTACCAAGTTAAGAGCAATCAGCATTATCTGTTAAGTCTCGGTTTCTGCATCTACAATAACACAGTGATAGCTCATAAGCTTCGCAGATTTAGTTATGAGCATTAAACAAGCAGCTAGCATGCCCAGCTAGTGCCTGGCATAGGGTCTGGGCGCAGTAAGTGCTGACTAATTACCAGGCTGTTGTGCAATCACCATCACGATTGCTGTCATTACTGACGGGGAGGACAATGCATTCGGAGAGACAGAACCCGGGACGCAGACACGTGGAGCAGAGGGACGTTCCTGGAAGTCAGTTAGTTCACATTCCTGTTAACAATCTCATCACTTTGCTCCCAACATCAGAAAGGCAAACACGACAGCAAACGCCCAGTTAGAACTTCCGGCATCTATTTGGAATCATTCACTATCTGATACTAATCTGGGGGAGGGGGCTGCTAAGTTCTTACAGGGACGCCCAGGCATATGACCAGATACTAAGTCACAAGAAAGAGTATCTTGAAGTCGGTAAAATCTCACAGACGCAGGCATTTAAGGAAGAAAGGGTTTGAAGCACCCAGGGATTGTTCTGCTTACAGGCGGCAGGAGGGAAAGATGACACAAACGTGAGTGGGTGTGATGAACAAAAAGAGCAGAGCAGGGCGCAGGGGAGACAGCCGGGCGCACACAGTGACGCGCCCCCTTGGAGATGGGCACGCGTTTGAGTTTGACGTGACAGAATAAACTCGGAGGCCAGGCTAATCCTGGCACCAGGAATCAGGCACAATCCCAGCAGCCTATTCCATTCTCTGCTAGGGGACGGAGCGGCGAGCATGTGTGTCCTGTGTGACAACATATCGCCAAGAAATGCCATTGTCCACCACGCCCGTCTACCTCCATCCACCTCCCCTGACCTGCCCACAAGGCCCGAAGCCTCTCTTCTCGCGGCTGCTGCTCTTTTCTAAAGAAATACCCAACGGCTTTCCCGGGTAGAATTCGCACACCATACAATTCGCCCCCTTACACTGGAAAACAACGCCAAGACTGGGCCTTCCGGTGTCCACCTGCACACGTGAATCTCTTTTCAAATCTCAGCGTTTGAAATGCTCACGTTGAAAAACTGGACCGTTTTTCATTTCTTCCAGGAGAGCAGGTTGCTAAAAACAGAACAAATGAATCACCGATTCACTTGAAAGGATCCACAAAATCACCTAAAGTGTGATCGCAAACAGAAGAATATTTAATTACGGTATGAGAGTAATAAAGATAATACTGAGTCATTATTTTAATTAGATGTTATAAACAACACATGGGCATCAGCTATATGCCAGGCCTGTGGAACGTACTCGCTGAATATCTAGAGAGAGATAAAAACAGGATTCTTACTCCCAAGAGGCTTAGATGTGGAAAACCTGACCAGTGCAAAACGCTACAGAACAATCAGGTGGAAGTCGAGGCTTAAACTGTTGGCGATGTCAGGGGCAAAGCCTTTCTCCTCAGAGCGCGGGATGCAGGGAGAAGCGACAGCCTGGGGCATCGGCAGAGACTGGCAGCGTCTCAGCCTGGGCAGGGAGAGGCCTCCGGAACCACGCAGGCCCAGTGTCCCAAGCACTCCTGCCTCC